GCCGTAGATGATGGGGTTGGCGCTGCTGTTAAAGAAGGCCAACCAGTGGGCGAAGGGGAAGACGTAGACGGTGACCAGGCGGAGCTGGCCCTCGCTCAGCCGCCCGTAGTCTGTAAGCAGCATCAGTGTCCAGAGGGGCAGCCAGGAGAGGGTGAAGAAGAGGGCGACGATGATAAGCATGTTGATGACCTTGGCCTTCCTCCGGGAGACCCTCCTCCTCTCCGGCTCCTCTTGGCCGTGGGCAGGTGCCGTCGACTTGAAGAGCTTGAAGGCGATGCGGGCGTACATGATGACGATGAGGGCGAGGGGAGCCACATAGATGTGGGAGAAGAGGACGGTGGTGTAGATCCTCCTCATCCCCGTCTCGGGCCAGGCCTCCCAACAGGAGTAGAGGGGGTAGGAGTTGTTGTAGGTGTCCACCATGAAGTGGTGCTCCTCCCTGGTGACGGTCAGGGTGATGGCAGCGGGGCACATGATGATCAGGGCCAGCACCCAGATGATGGTGATGGTCACCAGGGCTTTCCTCAGCGTCAGCTTCTGCCGGAAGGGGTGGACGATGCAGCGAAACCTGTGGGAGGGCAGACGGTGGTGGCTTTGGGGACCTGGTGGGATGTCCCTGGGGAAGGAGGGTGGCTAGGACCCAGGGGTGGGAAGGGAGGGTAGGGTGGGTTGCTTTTTACATATGGCTTTTGGTGGCAGAGACAGGTTGGGATCTCTCCAGCTTTGGTGTTTTCAGCCCAAGGTGGGGAAGGACACCTTGCTGGGATGCCCCATGGACAGCTTTGTGGTCCTCCTGGAGAGCTGGGACATGCTCCTGACGTCCCCAGGAGCTTTCCCATGATGGAAACCACACGGGACACCCGAACGCGCTGGGGGTGGCTTGGTCCCCATGTCCCCACATCCCCACACCAACGTACCTCTCCACAGCGATTGCCACCAGCGTGAAAACTGAGGCGGAGACGGACATGCCCTGCACCAGGCCGCTCATTTTGCACATGGCGTTGTCAAAGGGCCAACCTGCGAGGGGACACTGTGGAGGTTGTAGGTGCCTTTGGCTCCGCTGGGTCCATCAGCAGCTCCCTCTAGATGTCCCCATCCACCATGTCGTTGCTGGGGGACGCTAAATCCTGCTCCTAAGCAGGGGGGCTGCATTTTTGGCTCATACAGAGATGGCCTTTAGCAGTACAGATGCTTGGAGAAAAACCCCAAAATTGGTAAAAATGACGTGTATTACACTTCTGAGAAACTCAAGGAGCACAGAGGTTGTCATTTCTCCTACCCTTAAGTAGGGCTCTAGCTGTTATTACGGGGACTGACCTTGGGATCCTCAGTCAGAAGGGCTTTCATCTTGTTTCTTGACCCCCGCTAAGGCGTTGGCAATAAATAAATTGCACTCCGTAATAAGTAAACACAGAGTGCCCCGTGCCCCAGCTACTGCTTTGGCTAAACTCCGCCAACCACGCCAATGCTGCGCTTTATCTTTGGAATGTCAATGGGCACAGCTGAGCCAGCGCGGGGCGAAGATTGATGCCAGAAGAAGAGGGTTTTTTTTCAGAGCTGCTTGATGGAGGACAGCTGAACTTTAAATAAATATGTAAATGCACTGTTAAGGTCATACCTATTTTGCCAAAAAATGTCCAAAACCTGTGGGAAAAAAAAAAAAAGGACTCCTCCCCCTAAAATAATAGGTCTAAACGAAATGATACCTTTCATCAGATGTGGTTGAGTGGCCACCACCTGCCCTCCTCATCCTCAGCAAAAAAAAGCACCCGCAGGCAGGAGATTTGGGGGTGGCCTCATGTGTGGGGGGCAGAAGGTGGATGATGTTCCACACCAATTTCTCTTCCCCCCCCGCTGCCCTGCTCACCCGTGATGAGGTTGTCCACCAAGGTAGTGGGCATGCAGAAGATGCCCACCAGCAGGTCGCTGATGGCCAGGTTGAGGATGAACATGTTGGTGACCGTCCGCATCTGGCGGTTCTTCACCACGATAAAGCACACCAGGATGTTGCCGATCATGCACATGAGGAAGATGAAAGTGTAGGCCAGGATGAACATGGCGGCCACGGGGGAGGAGTGCTGGTAGTATGCCGAGAAGGTGTAGTTCTCCCTCAGGAGGTGGCTCTCGCTTGCGGTAGAGTTGGGCCAGCTGCCGTTGGAAGGGCCTGAGGAAGGGAAGGCAGGAAAATGAAGCTGGAAGAGGAAGGGAAGGCAGGAAAATGAAGCTGGAAGAGGATAAAGCGATTATTCCCTTCATTTCTTAATGCCCTCGGAGATGGGTTTTCATATTTATAGCAGTGCCCAGCCTGGCTGGGACGTGTCCTGCTGGGATCATCTCAGTGCCCCAACGAGTCTCCTCCTTGTTGGGTTACACAGCCCAAGGTACCACAACACCTCAGCTGAATTATTATTTTATATCATTATTTTGATGAGGAATTAAAGCAGCCCAGAAGACATCCTGTTCTCATGGGATTTTTTTAGGGATGATGCAAGGAAGAGAAATCCATGTCCCAACACCTCAGTGCTCCGGCTGTGCGGGCGCTGTGTCCGTGCGGTCCCTGGCACGGCTGGCCTGGGAGCATCCCTGCTCCCGGGTGTCTGCTGCTGCTTCTCCTTGCGCTTCCGAGGATTGCAATTTGCGATCCCTTAAAATCTTCTTCTCCCCGGCAAAGCCGCAGTACCTGAGGCAGACGGGCTGGGATAGAGGAGACCCTGCTCTCCCCTTACGTATAAAGCAAAAATTATACGTAATTATGATCATTATCTGGGACTGTAAGAGGTTCTGACGGAGGGGGGGATGGCACTTTGTCACTACAGATTTAACAGGGGGAGCAGGTCTGTGCAGCACCTACCCTCAGGTTTCCCCAGCTTTACGCAGGCAGGGATGCAGGAGGATGCCGGGTGCGGGCAGGAGCTGCCTGCAGCAGTGACAGGACTTACTCCGGGCAAACCCAGGCTGCAATTTTAAGGCAGAAAAAGGCATATTTTTGCTTTAAGGCTCAGCCTAACCGCCTGCAGGTCAGTCCCGCTCTGCGAAACCACTGCAAAGCTGCTGCATGGTGGGCGGCTGTATCATCCCCCCATCCCTGTGCTGGTGCTCAGCTCGCCAGCCAAGACGCCTTTCCCAGCAGCTGGGACCACCGGCTTCCCCGAGGTTCCGGCACACAGGGAGGCCCTGCCTGGCCTCAATACACCTGCCCTGGGCACAGAATTTGGCCAACACGTTTCTAGTGGGG